ACGAAGAAGAATTGCTACTTCTACTTGCCTTAAGTCAAGCAAGAAGAAAAAAAAGAAAATGGGTACATGAAATAAACCAAAAAATGAAAGAATTCGGCGAGTTTCACCGACTGTGCAGTGAATTGAGTTCTTTTGAAGACCGATTTTTTACATATTTTCGAATGTCTCGAGAACAGTTTGAGAATTTACATACTCTTTTAGAAAATAAAATATCGAAACAGACTACTAATTGGAGGAAACCCATAGGGACAAAGGAAAGGTTAGCAATTTGTTTGAGGTAAGTAAAAATAATCGTTATTTTCTAACAGTATTTATTTATTAAATAATTTTTTACTACATTTTACATTTTAAATTATATATTTATATCAAAATAATAAATTAAGTTGCGAAGTGTTCATACCATTCTTTTGCCGAATCTGAAGTTGAATTAAATTCCTGCGGTGGCCTGTTTGTAGAATAAATATTACTTGTTTCTCCGGATGAATTGTTATTATAGGTTTGGTTCATTTGCCATGATGAACTACTTGAATTTGATGGAGAGAATTGATTTTGAGCATCGATTTCTCGAAGTTCAGCTCGGCCAAACATTTGAGCCATCTCCATTTTCATAACAGCCTGTGTTGTTGGAGAAAATTTTTTGAATGTCTCTGCATAACTCAAAAAAAGGTTGTCGATACGGTCGAGGTTATTTTTTTGTTTTAGTTCTTTTTTATTTTCAAGATAGTTTATGACACTATCAACGTCCGAACTGACTTTTGACTTGAATTTTTTCGGAGGTGGTGGCATTTGATTACCGTCCTCTGATACCCAACCGTCCTCGTTACTATCATCTTCCTCATGAACAACTCTTTCACTTGACTGAGGTATATTTGACACAGTTGGTCGTGGTGTAACTGTATCTCGAAGAAACTCTAAATGCATTGCCCAAGGCCAATTTTTGAATTTTTTTGCCGAACCAGTTGTTCCCTTCAAGAATTTAAGATACTTCACATATGAATCCCTCAAATTTTTCCATTTTAGCTTCACAGCTTCAGCTAAAGAAAACGAATCAATCAGTTTTAAAGAAAAGTTTTTAAGTTTTCGATAGTTTTTATTTTTATATGCACATTTTTATTTGTTTATTGTTGTTTATTATTATTAGGGGTCTGAATTGGGTAGTTATATGTATTAATTTGTTATAGGTATTTGGCCACAGGAGATTCCCATCATACAATTTCTTTCTCATTTCGTGTTGGGCGAACAACAGTTTCCAGCATAGTTAAAGAGGTGTGTATGGAAATATGGAATGTTCTACAGCCAATGTATTTGGTCACTCCCACTGAAGATACGTGGAGAAAATCTGAAATTGGATTTAAAGAACGATGGAACTTTCCCAATTGCATAGGGAGCATTGATGGCAAGCATGTAGAAATCAAATGCCCTAATAAAAGTGGTACAAGTTATTTTTGCTATAAAAATTATTTTTCAATTGTACTATTGGCCATAGTTGATCCTTACTATAATTTTATAATTGTTGATATTGGTAGCTATGGACGACACAGTGATAGTGCAATATTCGAGAATTCTTCGTTCTATCGTGAATTTGTTGATAATAAAACAATTTTGCCACCAAAACCCTTACCTGGGACGGATACCCCTGTCCCGCATGTGTTTGTAGGTGATGAAGGATTTAAGTTACAAACATATTTAATGCGTCCTTTCCCAAGAAAAGCAATTGTTGAAAATCTAGAAAAAAAAAATTATAACAAACGGCATTGCAGAGCTCGACGAGTCGTTGAAAATGCTTTTGGGATTTTAGCCCAAAAGTGGCGTGTATTTTTTAGGCCTATTGAGTGTGATGTTGAAACTGCTGTTCACGTTATCAAAGCCGCATGTTGCCTTCACAATTTTATTAGAACTACCGCAAATGGCACTACTGATGAGAGAGAATCAACAGAGGACATCATAAATCAAACTTCCAGTGCTTTTTCAACCTCTACTCGATTAAGAGAAAGATCAAGTGATATGGCTCAAGCTGTGCGAAACCATTTCGTACACTACTTTAATTATTTAAGTCAATGATTCATAATATATAACATTTTACGAACTTATATTTATATTGTATTTTTTTCCATATTATATTTTTTTCCAACTTTTTTTTAACGATGCAATAACTGCTCTATTTCGTTTTAATAATTTTCTAGAGATTTTCAGTTTTTCTTGGAGAATTTTATTTTTATCTTTTAATTTTTTTTGACTTAAACTTTTATAATTTACAGTAGAATCTAGAGTTGTATGTGGACTTGGAATAGTTGTTACGTTCTGAAATCCAGGCTTTTGTACTTGGTGAGATTGATAACGAAGGGCTGTTACAGAATGCAAACGTTGATTTTGGAGACATTGTTGAAGTATGCATTTTGAAATTATTTTCATATTTATTCGTAGAAGTTAATACTTTTAAAACGTTTGGCGAAAATAAAGTATTGTAATGACCCGGGGAACCTAAAAATAAATGATTTATTAGATCATAATTTGTATTCTACCCATAATAACCATAACCTAACCCAAAAATTTTTTTTATAAGAATTTAAACTTCAAATTTTGACCGAAATTCATCATTGAACATTTCCAAATTGTTTTATATTTAAAAATTAAAAATGTATAAAATGTTCAGTTTTATATTTAAGGAACGAAAATTTAGTACAAGGTTTTTTGTAAATAGTTAATAGTGTACCCAAAAATCAGAAAAATGTATTAAAATTATAATTGTTTATAGACATTTTAGGTTAAAATTTGGACGTCAAAATATCGAACATTTGCAAATTGTTTTGTAGTTTAACATGTATTAAATGTTCAGTTTTTATAACTAAGGATTGAAATGTATGCTCACTTTTTTTTTAATAAGTATTTAAAGTTAAAATGTTTACCAAATTCATCGAAATCTTGAATATTTGCAAATTGATTTGATTTTTTAGCTAAAAATTTATAAAATATCCTAGACTGCCAAACCGTCTACGCTCAGAATCGTTTTCTGTATACAATGGTATATTATTGAATTCAAATTTAACACCATCCATTATATCGGTCTTCTATATAGTAACCTACTCTACAGCAGAGCGACATCCACTTACCCGCTTTTTTAAACTTAGTCGGAGTCGTATCCAATATTTCGTTAACAGTACTATTAGCATGTGCTTTTATTTTAGAAGCATTGGAGATATTCCATCTCCAAGATTTGGGTGAGCTTAAATTAGTGTCCAACGTTGTCTTTAAAACTGGGTCATCAACTTTTTCAACTAGATTATAATAAAATAATTTATTTAAATGCAGTATTTAATAATTAATATATTGGTGAGGGGGGGGGGGTATAGTAAATTTACCTCCATAGTTCTTTTTTGGTATAGCATTAGCATTGAGTCTCGATTTAACATCATTTTGATTGCTATATTGGTCTCTATCAAAATGGTTCTGAGCATATACATTTTTTTTTAAACTGTTTTGGGCTTAGTAAGTCCGTTCAATTTCCCTAAAAGCAAAATTGTGAATCAAAAATCTTAATCTCTACTTTAATCTTAGTTCGAATAAAAATAATTACTTGTTAAAAATATTATGATATACTCCGTACCACGAGAGAACGCATACGGCGGCCGACCAAAACTCGTCGTTTTCGCGCATGAGCGTCCCCCTCCCTTAAAAGTACAGTGCGCCGATGGTTAAAATCTATAAATTTCCTTCCTGGTTTTAACAAAGAGTTCTTATATCATATCAAATTTAAAGTATCAGAAATGTCTAATAGTGATAAAAAATGTATTATTTTACACGATGAGATGTCAATAATGACAGATATTGAGTATAATAAATCTCTAGACTTAATCGAAGGTTTTGAAGACTTGAGTCCTCTAGGTCGTACTCCAAAAGTGGTTAAACATGCATTGGTCATTATGGTTAGAGGACTGTACAAAAATTGGAAATTCCCATTGTGTTATTTTTTGGCTAACAACGGTGTTAATGGGAACAACCTAAGTGTTTTTAATAAAAGAAAGTGTAAAATGTATAGTTGACGTCGGCTTACTACCAACATCTATTGTGTGTGATCAGGGGACACAAAACCAAAAGTTGTTTACGCTTCTCGGTGAAACTGAAGTAAACCCCATTACTGAAATACATGGTCAACAAATCCATCTTTTATATGATATTCCACATCTAATAAAAAGTCTAAGAAATAATCTATTAACAGGAAATATACTGATTAAAAATAAAATAACATCTTTTGGTGACGTGATTAAGACATACGAGATTGATACAAAAAATAATACAGCAAGAGCAATGTGTAAACTGTCATCTGTACATCTTTATCCGAATCCGTTTCAAAAGATGTCCTGCAAATTAGCAATCCAAATTTTCAGTAATAATGTTTCGGCTGCAATTAAAACATGTATTCAAACGGGAGAGTTAAAATCAAATACTGCAAAAGATACAGCAGACTTTTTACTCTTAATAAATAATATATTTGATGTCTGTAACAGTAAAAATGTATATGATATGAACTCAAATAGACGACCATTAAGCAATAACAATCATCATTTATTTAAAATTATTAAAAAAACCATATCAGAATTTCAAGACGCTTTAAAAATTAGGTTCCATGTCTTTACACCGACGGTATCAACGCCGACGGTATCTACGCCGACCGCATTTACGCTGACAGAAAAAATGCCGATGAGTATCTACGCCGATAGTAAATACGCCGATGGTATGTTTTTTTACAAAACGAATGTTTTTCTATGGGACTGATATGAAACTGAAAATTATGGAAAATGAATTATGTTATTAAATAATTAAAAATAAAATACCTAACTCGTGTTGCCTAGTTTTTTTAATAATAAATATTTTTTGGCTCTGAAACCTAACCCTAAGCATGGCCATTTAGCAAGATTGGAATTGAAAATGATGAGCAATTCCCTGCAAATAATCGGAGGTGTCGCGATTCTCATAGTCTTCAACGATTTTGTTAATTCGCAATGCTGTGTCTCGATAACACAGTTATGGGTATGTGTTTGTCTTCTTTGATTTTGTCCGTGGTATACACAAAACCTACTAACATGCGTGATTTACTGATTCCTGAGAAATACACTTATACGGTGGCTGGAGATAAATTTCTCCAATTCGACAGCTGTGCTTCAGATAATAGAATTATTATCTTTAGTACGCAAAAGAATTTGGATTTGATGGCGACATGTGACCATTGGTACGCTGATGGTACATTTAAAACGTCACCGCCATTGTTTAAGCAAGTTTCTACAATACACGCGATTAAGTATAATAACGTTCTGCCAACGTTTTACTCACTTTTGCCTGATATATGTCAAGATACGTATTCGAGTGTATTGGATAAACTGAAGCTGCTTAAACCAGGGCTGTCTCCAGTCAGTGTTATGACCGATTTTGAAAATGCCCAGATAAATGCTTTTTCCCATAATTTTCCAGACATCAGGAACAGAGGTTGTTTTTTTCACTTCAGTCAATGCATTTGGAGAAAAATTCAGACAATCGCTGACATTCGATCCAAATACGAGGATAAGGATGATCTGGATTTTGCATTGAACGTGCGAAAGTTGGCCGCTCTTGCATTTGTTCCAGAGCCTGACGTAGTTGATTGTTTTGAAAGACTTCTTCGCACAAAATTTTATATGGATAACGAAGACCTAATGTCAGATTTGGTAGATTATTTTGAGTCCACGTGGATTGGAAAGCCCCGACGAACCGGCCTTGGCAGAATGTTTCCTAAATTTAAGCTGAGCCTCTGAAATTGTTACGAGGCATCGTTCGATGACCTACCCAAAACTAACAACGCCGTTGAAGGCTGGCATCGAGGATTCAGCTCTCTTTTAGGAGCAAATCATCCATCTATTTGGAAATTCATTGAGGGTCTGCAAAATCAGCAGAGCCTAAATCAATTCCAAATCAACCAGTACATTGCTGGATTACCACCAGCACAGGAACGACGGTGTTATCGAGACACAGCATTCCGTATTAAAGAAATCGTTGAAGACTATGGGAATCGCGACACCTCCGATTATTTGCAAGGAATTGCTCATCATTTTCAATTCCAATCTTGCTAAATGGTCATGCTTAGGAGGGGGCACTCGTCGTATTAAAAAATGTCCTTTTTAGGGCATAAAAAGGCTCTTTCAGAGCCAAAAAATATTTATTATTAAAAAAAACTAGGCAACATGAGTTAGGTATTTTATTTTTAATTATTTAATAACATAATTAATTTTCCATAATTTTCAGTTTCATATTAGTCCCATAGAAAAACATTCGTTTTGTAAAAAAACATACCATCGGCATATTTACTATCGGCGTAGATACTCATCGGCATTTTTTCCGTTGGCGTAGATACTAGTCGGCGTAGATGCCGTCGGCGTAAATGCGGTCGGCGTAGATACCGTCGGCGTCGATACCGTCGGCGTAGATACCGTCGGCGTTGATACCGTCGGCGTAAAGACATGATATCAAAAATTAGTCACAAGAACAAAAAAAATATCAGTACCACCGTGTTTTTAAGGGTATGATTTGGTCTTTAACATCTGTACTTAATTTATATGAATAAGAATTATTAGATTTTCACAATAATATTTAACCAGAAAATAATAATAAAGAGTACTTCTTATTAACAAATAGACTAAACCTAGACCCATTAGAAAATATGTTTTCTATAGTAAAGCAAAAAAACGGATATACAAGGAACCCGACTGCTAGAATGTTTCGTAGTTGCTTTGCAAGTATTTCTTCTTTTTCTCTAATTAAGGCGTCGGAAAAATGTAATTGTGAGTTAGACCAAGACGATTTTTTAACTGTGGACATATTAAACGATGTAGACGTAACGCAAAACCAAACTAACGTAAATCACCAAGAATCTGAACCAATAGAAGAATATAAAAATAATGATAGTAGTAATATAGTTTTTCAAAACTCATCATCTAGTTCGTCCTCATCAGAATCTGAACCTGAAAATATGCAAAATTCCAAAACAGCACTAAAAGATTGTTCAATTACATACTTTGCTGGATATTTGGCCTAAACGTTGTGTTGACAATTTTAATTGTATTGACTGTAAAAATATTATGTTAACTGACACAGAAGACAATGATTCAAATAAAATGTTGATTTTGTACAAAACTTTTGAACATATTGATCCATTAGGAACTGGAGGCTTAAAATTGCCATCTAATTGGCAAATAAATGTGTGTCACATAAGTTTGACAATATTTGAAAAACATTTTGAAAACATTAAAAGTGAAAATAAAATTCTATCAATGCTGAAAAATTTGATTTTAACAAAATTAAATAAGAATATGCCCGAATTTAAAAATTTTCCATGTCAGCAGCATGTAGATTATATGATTAATCTTTTATTAATTATTCGTATATATAAAGAATGTAAATGGCAGAAAAAGCAGATACATAACTCGATTAAAAAGATACCAAAATTAAGAATATTTCAACATCTGTAAACACAACAACTAACACAAAATAGTATATATTTTTATTGTTAATTTGTCTATTTTTTTGTATAATTTTAAAACATTTTTAAATTTTCAATATTAAGTGTAAATAAGTACTTAGTAGTTAGAAGTTACCTTATTTTGTTCAAAGAAAACACGTGCAAGTGACAATATGTAAAAATCCATTATCTGCATCAAAGTTTTGTCTTTATTTACTTGTATTTTAAATTTTGTATATTTATGACCGATGTTAATAAAATGTCCTGTTATTTTTTACAATATTTCATAAAAAATTAAAATAGGTATACCAACGTTTTGTTAAACATTTTTTTTATTCCATCAACATCAGGTATTTCCACTATATCAAATAAAAATGTGTATGTATCATCAGCTTCACCAATAGCACAACGCAAACATATCACTAGCATAGACTTTTTGTTTAATGTAGTAGACTCATCAACTAAAATGGTAATTTTTCTATTATTTTCAATAATATCTGAAGCAATTTTTTTCTTATTTCCAATGCTATGTGATCAATAATGTTTGAGCATGATACATTGATTTGAAGATGATACATTGATTTGAAGTACTCTTCCCATGTCAAACCCATTAAACATTTGAAGATCAGTCATTTTTGGCAAGTCTGTATAGGGACGTTGATATTTAGCAATTGAATTAGCTGTACGGAATATTCTAGCTGTAGATTCATGTTCAGCTGCCTTAACTTTAAAAATATGTTCATCCATAACATTCTTTTCTGACTCAGTAACGATTTTTTTGGCATTTAAATGAGCAATAGAACTTTTGTGTTTAGCAATCTTTTTTCGTAAGTTAGTTTTTTTCTTTTCTAAGCTAGAACCATATGGATACACCTCACCATTAATCCATTCTGATGACACATGGGAACCTTTATGATCAAGCAAATTTTGTTTTAAACCTTTACAAATTGTACAACCAATATTTTTCTTCTTAAAATATATCCATGGGTATTCTTTTGTAAAATAAGATATCTAAAATTAGTAATGTTATCACAAATGGACCCAGAACTCAGAAGAAAAAATCAAAATAATCAAACCATTACCACTTTTTGCGTTACCTACCAATAGGTAGGTTATATAGTATGATTTAAAATTTTTTTATACTTTTAAATTCTAATGTAGGTATTAACATTCAGTTTTTATGATTAAATGAATATTTTAACCGTTCCCCCGGAAATTAAACTAAAGGGGACGCAAAACTAAAGCTAAGCAAAGAAGGGGAACGCCGTCCCCCTCCGTCACCCCACCCACTTTAACCACTGACGATACATCTGTAGAGTTTGAACGGTGGCCTCGTGGTTCAAAAGATGTTTACATCATAATAATAGAAAAAAAATAAAAAATATCTTGACCCTAATAAAAACTAATGATATCCCTACCTACACACTATGCTGTTGTGTGATATTATTATTGAATTTTCATTTAATGATAACTTTATCCCAACAAAAATACTACGTCAACTCCGTGTAAAAAAAAGCTAAGTAAAAAAAAAATATATATAAATGCAATAAAATGTGTGATATAAGGTGGAATCTAAGTAAATGGTCTAATGAATAAAATGCATGTATAAGTAATCAATTCAAATTTAATAAAAATTGGTTATTTATATTAATTTATAATATGAATTTTTTTTAAACTCAAATTGATCCAATTTTAGTTTACTTGGCCGGAAACAATTTGTTTATTGTGATGGTGCTTTCATTATTTATTACATAAACTATTAGTACTTGGCTATACATTTTTTAGACTGAATCTTCCTGCCAAGTAAAACAAAATTGGATCAATTTGAGTTAAAAAAAATTCATATTATAAATTAATATAAATAACCAATTTTTATTAAATTTGAATTAATTACTTATACATACATTTTATTCATTAGACCATTTACATAGATTCCACCTTATATCACACATTTTATAGCATTTAATATATATTTTTTTTTACTTAGCGTTTTTTTACACGGAGTTGACGTAGTATTTTTGTTGGGATAAAGTTAATATCAAATGAAAATTCAATAATAATATCACACAACAGCATAGTGTGTAGGTAGGTCAAGCAATATAGAGGTGTTAACGTTAGTAGAACTCATTAAATGAAAATGAACAATTTTGTGGAAAAATAGCTTTAAACGTCAATTTTCCGTTTATTAATTTAATAATTAAATACATGTACATGTAATTGGGGGATTACTTTGGTAGTATAGTTACTACTATAGTATCAGTGGCTGTAAATACAGGCTGATTCGATCGACGTCGATAACCGTTGAACTTCACTTTTATATTGTTCTATGCTTCTATTCTACAATAGAATATCTAACTACCAACATGAGCAACCAATGGTGAGACCGAGTAGCTATTCTATAGTATAATCTTGTGACTCCCGAGTACAAAACCAAAGTAATGTATTGTAATTTATTGAATTAAAAAAAAGAATCATGTACATAATATGCATAATATACAATATAATATACCTATGCAATATCCCAGACAACAAAATTATATTTCAAGAACCCACATAGCATTTACCAATGTTAAAACTTTGATAAACGTTGAGATTGAATTGAGTTTTAAAGGTTCGAAAAATAAGCTTTAATAAAACTAGATAAAGTGTTAATTATTAAACATTTAAATTAGAATAAATTTTAAATGCTTTACAAGCACTTAATTTAGTTCAACTTAGGCCATTGGGAGGGGGTTGGTACTGTAGGTTTAGAACGGTAGGTTGGTTACACGTGGGTGTGTTGGTGGCAGAATTTCTATTGGGGCACCCGTAGATTTCTGCCATGCCCCGGAGTGGGGGATGGCGGCACTTTATTCTCCGGACACCGTGACTTGCCCGGAGAAAAATACTGCCCAGTGGCCGAGGGGATCGAACCCGTGACCGCGAGCACCGGAGCCGACGCGTTAGACCGCTCGGCCACCTCGTCCCACTAGATTTATTATTTTATGTATACTAAAGCTACATGCGTAGTCTACTAGCTGTTATGTTATTATTATGGGTAATACAATATTATAATACATACGCCCATCGTATTATCACTCAGGTCTCAGACCCGTATTTCGAAGAAAAAAGCTTTGGCAAATCGGTCAGTTGATCAAATCTTGCCATTTCTAAAGTCATATTCAGTAAGTTTCTAAAATAATTAATATTAATATACTTACATATCATATTTAATATTAACTGTATCAGTTGAATTTAGATATCATACATATATGATCATGGGAATTATAATTAATTCTCCTAAAAAAATTGTTCATAATATATTATAATCATATTATCTGGTAACAATAAGTATTATATTAGTAGTCAATATATTATAAAGTATTAAAAAAATTTAATTTAATCATATAGGTACAATAGTTACATTTATTATCATATTATCTATGATTATCTATGATTATCACGTATGTGTGCAGCTTATATATCGCTCTGTGTATCAATATAATATGAGACTATTTGATTTTTAATTGATTCAGGTTCACCATACATGTCGACTATATCAGTAATATTCATGCCTAAGGGGAATTGAGAAACATTATAATATGTTCTATACTTTTATGACAATTGTATATAATA